ACATGAATGGTGTGACTCTACTTTGTGTACAACCAGAAATATGAAAAATTGTGCTCTATATGTGTAATATGAATTGTAATGCATTCTGCTGTCATATATAACAAATTAAAATCTTAAAAATTAAAAAATAATAATTCATTAAAAATAATAATTATTATTATTAAATATTAAGTATTTGCCAAGAATTATTAGCCTTTGGATATCCAGTAATGAAGAAAATAATCAAGAACTCTGTTTGTTCTCATGGATTTAACAATAAAAAGAGGAAATGCAGACAAAAAACATGAACAAATAAGAGGATAATGTTCTGTCAAGGGCTATGGAAAAATGACATGGTACACTGAGTGATAAAGTAATAGTGAAGAAAATTAGTTTCGGTAGTCAAATATGGGCAATCTTTAGAGGTAACTTTTGGATTGAGGTCTGAAAAATAAAAAGGAGTGAATGAGATAAAGATGGGGGAAAGAGCAAATAGTAAGTACAAAACACTCCAAAGGCAAAGAGTTCTGCACATTCAAATAACTGAAGATCAGTGTGATCAGTGAGCCAATGAAAAGGTGGTTTAAGATAAGGCTATAAATGAGGCAAGGACTAGAACATACAGGTTTTAGAAGCCAAGGAAAAGAATGTGGACTGTAATTTAGAAACACAGTGGGAAACCCTTGAAGGTTTATAATCAGGGAGATTAAATTATTGATTTACATTATATATGATCATTCTTGGTTGCTTGAGAATAAATCAGGCTTAGATATGAGAGATAACAGCAAGGTGGTGGGGGGGGGAGAGAAAGGGGCTAGTTAAGAGATTATTGTAGTAGTTCAGATAAGCCCTTATGGTTATTGGGGTGACAATGGAAATGGAGAAAAGTAAATGAATTTAAGATAGTTTTTATAGGAAAATTTAATAGTATTCGGTAACAGAATGGAATGAAGGGGTGTGTGAAAGTAAACCTCTGGTTTTGAGTTTGTGTAAAAGTGTCATGTAGTGATGCTAATTCTAGACATGGGAGCCAGAAGAAAGACTAGATTTATTTAGGGGTATAGATTAATTTGGTACATATAAATTTGCATATCTGGGGGATATCTGAGTGGAGATTTCAGAGAGGCAGTTGAACACATGCATCCAACTCAGATTTGTTATTTTCTTCTGAAAAGTCCATTTTGAAACGTCCGATTTGGAGCAATTAATGTGGGTATTCAGTAACTACATAATAATCATTAATAAAATTGTTGATAAAAGACAAAAGGGGTCAGAACTGTGTCTTCATGCTTGCCGGCGAAAAGAGAATGAGCTTGCCTAGAACACTGCAAAGTAATCAGTGATGCAAAAGAAAAATGAGGGATAGTAGAGTGCCACAGAACGCAGTGAAGAAGAGTATTTCTATAGAAAGCAGACTGTTAACTGCATCAAAGTAAAATGTGATAAGGATTAAAGATATCAGAAAAGAAAGAAGTGTGATATATACTTTTTCTAGTACATCAGCAGAAAGAATGTACTTAAAACCAGAAGAGGGGGCTAGTTAAGGAGAGCTTCTATGTGTACATTTGCACAATTTATAGAAACATCCATTTTTTTGAGACAAGTCTGAATCATTATCCCATTGAAGTTGCAAACTTTCCAAGTATTTTATTCAAAACATTTACCTTTTCAGCATGAGATGCTTACCTTCATACCTGGGATCCCAGGAGGCCCCTATTGTTAAAAAGAAAAAAAAGTTATATATATATATATATATATATATATATATATATATATATATATATAAAGAGAATAGTGAAAAGAACACAATGGTTTCTAAATAGAATATGAACTAAAAAACTTCTATAAGGTCATTGCTGTATCTTAGGATACTTAAGAGATAACATTTATATTAAATATCATAGAATCCTTGCTTTTGCCTTACCAACTTTTAAAAAAAAACCTTTCTTTGGCATATTACTATAAGATACATGTGTTTGTTGGGCATAAATATGTTGATCTCACTCTCTACACATCTGTATCTTCTGTGAATTTCTGTGTTCACTATAATCCCAAATTTTGTAACTTACCGGAGGACCCTGTAAACCAGGAAAACCCGGACTGCCTGGAAATCCACGTTCTCCCTAGAAGGAGTTAAAATAAAGAGCATGGAGGACCAGGAAAATAAATATATCAACAAACAATGACTTATTGAAAAGATTTCTGCAAAAACCATTTTTGAATGTCTGGCATTTTGAAATGTGCCAGATTGCCAAAAATTCATGAGACTTCCCTTTCTGATAACTACATCATCAACTACCCATACCAATTCAACCTGCTAAGACACTTTCATCCCTACTCATCCATCTCTATCAGAAATAAAGGGAAAAAACCCCATCTTCCCTTGTCATTTTCTTCTGAGAAATCCATTTTAAAACCATCACACAACGGATTCCCAACTCTCATCACATTTAATAGTTAATGATTTGCCCCAATTTCCTGCCAATATGTTATATAGATTCTTATTTTAACTGCCCAATTGCATTTTTCTTTTATTGTAAACTATTTCAAATTATTTTTGTAAAAAAGAAAAGATGGTAAGAAAGAAGGCCATTAATATCACCAAGAGGACAATAATAGCAATAGTTCTAGCAATTGTAGGTCATTATGTTTTCTAGGCACCGAATTTTTCCCACTCACTATTGTAAAGTACTAATATGAACATTTGGTTTAGAAAACAAAAGCTAAAACCACTGTAGAAGAACCCCAATGCAACCTTCTTTCAAATACCTCTATGCTATAGTAATCCTAGAAACAACCATGTCAGAAGGTTTAAAAGAGTAAAATGACTACATCTGCATGCCTTTGAACTGTCTAATACCCCTCTCTGTCCACTTTTACACGTAGAAAAAAAATAGGCCCAGAAATGAAGTGGTTTGTACATGAAGTTTAAATGACAGAAAAAAAAGAATCCATAAATTGTAGTTTCAACTCTAGGGTTCATTCTTTTACTTACACAATGAGAAATATAAGAAAACATTCTAATCTGAAAGTATGCATAATAAATCTATAAAAATTGTTTAAAAATTATTGTTTACATAATCACTAGCCTGAAATACAAATTAATCATTAGATCTACTGCTTTAAAAAAAAGGAAAAACAAGGTCCCTTTAATCATATAGCATAGTAAACTAAGTGTAGACCTTTGAATTTAAAATTTTGTCTAGTGGTCTGTTTGCTGCTTAAGCATACTATCAAAAAACATGTCAAAAAATAACCAGAACCAGTAAAAGAATGCCACCTACTTTAATAGAAAATGTCTCATGTAAACTAATTTCCCATTGGTCCTATCACTAATGGTTACCCCTGCCCAAAGGAAGAACACAAGGAAGCTTCACAAATCCAAACACTGAAAAAGTATCATCATCATCATCATCAACAACATCATTGGCAAGGGTCATAATGACCTGGAGAAATACTGGAAGTAAACAGAATTATATTGCCTATGAGTAGGTACTACAAAAATTATCAGAAAATATGGCCCTTGTAGTGAAAACAATTTGTTCATGTTATTTTAAATTTGGGCCCTAATATAAAATTTGGTGGGGTATTTCACAAATAGTTTCACAGAATATGATGTGCAAAGTGGAAAATTATAAATAGATACAGAGAATAATAACATGTTGCATTACCTAAAGGAAAAGGAGAAAAGTAAGGGAATAAGAACAAAGGCTAAAATATGTAAGTGTGCAAAAGCAAATTTCCTTGTTATCTATCACCTTACATTAAATCCAAACAGTTGACTAAAGAAAGGAAAACTGGGTCAGGAAAAAAATGTTGGCTATATTTAAAGATTTGTTTTTCTTTTAAAACTGTTAAATGCATCATTTTTTTGCTGACAGAAAGGAGTTGCTAGTTTCATACTAACAATTTAGCAAGTTAAAAATATTAAATCATGAAATATTCCAAAACTCAATTTGTATCTAGTTTCCAAAACTAATAAATGACATTCCCAATTATTACTCTTAAAAACTGATATTTGAAACATACATATCCTAATTCCTTTTTAACTGTCATCCTACTATTCACGAAACCAAAAAAGGATTTGGTAAGGAATCTTTAACCCAATGCATTATCCCAGATTATTATGCATGCTTAAAGAAATAACTGACATTTAATGTATTGAAAAAATGTTAAGTCAAAATATACTCTATGCCCTAGATATGAAGCTACCACATCTTTTTTTAAACTTTTTAAATTTTTATTAGTTTCTCAAGACAATACAATGATCTTGACATATCTTTATTTTAGTAGTTTACTTTCTTATGTGGTGCTGAGGATAAAACCCAGTGCCTCACACATGGAAGGCAAGCACTCTACCACTGAGCCACAGCCCCAGCCCTGAAGTGACTACATCTTGTCTTCAACTTCTTCATGTTGGTTTCTTTAGATTTTAAGTCTATTATTATCAAGCACATTGCCTAATATTAAACTAAAGAAATATTACCTTGGTTCCATTGCATCCTGGGATACCTTGAGGTCCTGGGGCTCCATCATGGCCTGGCATTCCCTTTGAAAAGGGATATAAGACATGTATATTATTTCTTAGATGACTTTTTTATGTTTTTTTTTAATTTTTTTGGTTGTAGTTGGACACAGTATCTTTATTTTATTTGTATGTGGTGCTGAGGATCGAACCCAGGGCCTTGCACATGCTAGGCAAGCACTCTACCACTGAGCTACCACCCCAGGCCTCTTAGATGACTTTTTAAGGAATTTTATTTTTTCTTTGTGTAGTATTGGAGATCAAACCGAGGAATTAACACATGCTAGGCAAGCACTCTACTCACAGGAAGACCTGGTGTCCCTGGAAATCCAGGAAGTCCAGGAGGACCCTATAAGAAGAAAAAAATATCTGAATCAAATAAAAACCAATAACAATAAAAACTATATCTTACCTAAAGGCATTATTAAGTTTATATTTAGACTAGATATAGACAAAATGTGTCTCATTTATTATTACCATTCATTGTTCTTTTAAATATTAGAGAAAAACCACCTATATGTGTTTTTTAAAATTTTTTAACCTTTGTTTATTTATTTGTTTGTTTGTTTATATGTGGTGATGAAGATCGAACCCAGTGCCTCACACATGCCAGGCAAGTGTGCTACCACTGAGCTACAACCCCATCCCCTATATGTGTTTTAAAAGTTTCTTTTATAGAAAACTAAAGAAGGAACTCTTATTTTAGGGAGTGCTATTTTCATTGCACTTGGTATGAGTAAGCAAAGCAGTGGAAGAAACATTTCTTCTAACAAGTTCTCAAGGTTTGCCATGAATAATGAATTCAGCAGAGGAGGTGGCAAATACATTTGACTCTAAGGATGTTAATGTGATCACCTCCAAAGATCCTTAAATTAAATTTCCCGGTCAGAATTGGCAAAAAGACAAGTGGGACAACATTCCCATAGGTAAGGCTATGGGGAAAAGGTTCTCTCATACACTGTTAATGGGGATTCAAATACTGTGAAGGGAAATTTAGAAGTATCTGGCAAAATTACACCTGCATTTACCTTTTAACCTAGCAACTCACTTCTATGAGTCTATCTCCAAAATACACTAGAAATTATGAAACAAAATATGATATCTGAGGTTAGTTACTGCAGCATTATTATAGCTACATCTATGGAGAAAATGCAGAAGATGAGTCTGAAAGGTCTTGTGCCAGAAAGCAAGAAAGCTATCAAAGATCAGTGGAAGTTTTGTTAGAAGGGCACACTGACAAGGACCCTCCACAAGCCATAGATGGCACAATCTGGACTTCAAAAAGAATAATGACTACAATTGTTTGAAACACTAAATTCTAGTGTTTACCATAAAAAATTTCACAAAAAATATTCCTTGATCACCACTGGAAATTGCTGGTGTAGCAACTCATTAGCTTATTAAAATTATAGCTAAAAAAGGAGGATACAGAATATTTTTTAAAAATCACCATTTTGTAATTCTCAACAAAATAATGACCATCAACAGATGCTGGACCACTTGGTGAAGGTTTGTGGGGAAATTTTTGATTCAAGATAAAGGCTGACATTATGTAAGACCAGAGAATAAACCCAGTGTCAAAAACTAGGATAGCCAGATATTTGTATGACATGATGTAATTCTATAGTAAATGTACAATGCTACCTACAAAGTGCACTTTTGCCATTTAATTTTATTGCAGTATGATTTAAATGCAGTAAATACACAAATCTTTAATGTATAGCTCTTTTTGAGTCCCCAGAAACTACTTTAGTGTCTCCTGCAGGGTAACATCCAATTTATAGAAAATATGGGGGACAGAGGAACAATTTAAATGATGCCATGAAGAAATAATCAGCCAAACTCAGAATGTGGAATGCAGTATAATACAAATGACCCAGTTTTTCCAATAGCACTATAAAAGAGGCATAAGAAACACAGCAATCAAAGGCAATACATGGACCTTGCTTGGATTATGATTTGAACAAACCAATTGTAAAGGGCATCTTTGAGACAACTGAGGAAATCTAAATGCGGACTAAGTTTTAAAGTATATGAAAAATGACTCCTACAGTGATGATGTGCTTGTCCATTACAGAGGCATAATAAAGTGTTAATAGAATGAATGAAGTGATAGATTTACTTTAAACATTTCAAAAACTAAATGGCAGGGGAAGAGATTTAACAAAATTGTCAAAAACATTGATTTTTTTTGAAATCTGGAGAAAAGTACATAGATGTTAAATGCATTATATTCTCTCTACATTTGTAGACATTTCACATTTTCCACAATAATTTTTTTAAAAAAACTGTCAAAAACTGCATATTAGTTGATACATGAGGATGCTGGAACTATTAGGCTACCTTTGCCCAGGCACTTCTGAAGTTGTTGTTGAGTGGCATGGACTATCCAAATACCTCCAGATATTTGGATATGGGAACTGATAGAATGGCCAGTTCTTTTTAGTCTCCACAAAGCTTAGGATGTAGTTAATGGTAACTATAACTATTATGAAATATGTTATGATTATCATGAAGACATTTAATAGTATATTGGTAACTATTTATTACAGAAAACAAAGAAGAATGTATGCTAAAGTAAACTAAGGGTTTTGAGTCTTCTTTGTTTCTCCAATATCATATTCACTTCAGTCATACACAGCACATAAGACAGCTCTGGATTGTTAAAACGGATACAATTAACAGTGATTTTAATGTTTATGTAAGATTTGTACATCTACTAATTTTCAAAAATCAAAGAATCAGAATGTTGTTTTCTGTCATACATATAAACATGTAATGTCCAACCCATGTATTTTATAGTCCAAGTAAGGGATCATATCACTCCATAAAGACAGAATTTCACAGCAAAAATGGATTCTGCTGTTTAACTCTCTAATATATGAAGAAAACAAGGCTCAGAAAAGTGAAATATGACCTTCAAACCTAGTACTATTTTTAAACTAGATTTCTCTTAATTCCAGAAAACAGTCAAATGTATGTGAACCTAAAGCTTTTGATAAAAAAATTACTAAATATGAATTTTAGTTTTGAGATGCATCCTGATTTTCAGAACTCTACAACTCGAAAAATCATGCAAGTTAAAACTAGGGAAATGTACTCTTCTAAAAGCAATTATTCTTTTAATTGTTTAACCAATCTTCTTCAAGATACACAATTTTATAATACTTGTACATGATAAAATGAGAGGCTATGTAGCCTGAGGAGACTAGCCCTCTGAAGCCCAGCAGGCTAACATGATCACAATGCTTGAGAAGTTTTGGGTTGAATCAACTATATGATAAAGATTTTAAAGAAAGTGGGAAAAACCTCTGAATTTAGCATTTTCATGTTTCTTAATCATAAACTACTTTAAAATCATCTTATATACATTTAAACAGACATCTAAATATATAACTATCAAAATACAAAAAAGGCTAATTTTAGTCATATGCCAATTCTTAAATTTTAAGTTTTTAAATAAAGAATAATTTTCTTCCATCATTTCGAAGTGAATCTTCTCTAGTTCTCTCATAATAGTTCATTTGTGTTTTATCTTTTTCCAAGAGTAAAGCATTTGGTATACAGTGAATATTGCTTACTCTGATTCCTTTTGGTCCTGGTGGCCCTGGAATTCCATCATCACCCTGAAAAATACAATATATTTAGTCCCTATTTCTTAAAAAATTCACTCAAATAACTAATTTTTGCAATATGGCAATATAACATACTATTTTTTGTGAAATTTGGGGAGAAATTACATATCCAAGGAAGAAGCATTTATTATTGCAATTAAAAGCACTGGGGTAAATTATATAATCAAAAATAGGAAGAATCTTTATTGACTGAGAAGAAAACTGCTGACATATAGAAGAAATTTTACATACATAAAGTTATATATGAGTCATGCAAGAAAACAAAGATGATATAGTGGTATAGACATCCCCCAAAACATTTATGCATAAACAACATAAGAGGTGAAAATATGGGCAGTTTCTATGTTGTCCTCAATCTGCCATGCTGCAAATAAATAGCATTATCTCTGTGTCCCAAAATTCTGTTTTTGAATTTTCTGTTTTAAACTTTGTTTTATTTTGTAAGTCATTTTTCTACTGGCAGAGCTTAAGAAGGACTGAGAAAGTACTATAAACCTTCCTTTGTAGCTTCTGTTGACAACTCCATGCAAAAGAGGCTACCCACATGTGTCTTCATTTATTTATCCATTTTCAGTCACAATTGCATTACTTAAAATTTAAATTTTTTCTGTTTTTATTAACTACTTTCTTTTAAAAAATGAATAAAGAAAACCTAGCTGTGTTACATGTACCAAATATATTCACAAGTTCTAGGAACAATAATACAGATATCTTTGGGGCAGGAAAGGGAAACAATTGTTCTCCCTACAACATTCTGCTTCTAAAAAGTTTAATAATTGCTGGGGTCGTGGCTCAGTGGTAGAGCACTTGCCTAGCACATGTGAAGCACTGGGTTCCAGCCTCAGTACTACATGAAAATAAACAAACAAAATAAAGGTATTGTGTCCATCTACAACTAAATTAAAAAAATTTTAATAAGCTACTCTTTCTTTTTCAAATGTATTTCTAAGAGGATTAAAGTAAATCAAATCCCACTTTAAAACAAATAGAAGAACTTTTGCTCAATGAATATTTTGTTTGCCTTTCCACCGATTGCAGAAATAAAACACAGATGTCACAATATTGTACCAGTTGTACTAATCAACATGGTTAACTAAGAGGAATAAATTAAATATATAAATATTAGAAAGGATAGAGCTGGGGGTTTAGCTCAGTGTTTGAGCATTGGCTGAGCATGCATAAGGCTTTGGGTTTGATCCTTGGTGCAACATTTTTAAAAAAGAAAAAACATTAAGAGAGGATGAGGTAAAACTACTAATATTTGCAGGTTATATGATTGTATGTCTGAAAAACACAAGCTTGTTAAAAGAAAAATATTATTAATGAACAACTGTGTATAAAACTAATATTAAAAAAACAACAGCTTTCTTATACCAATAACTACCAGATAAAAGACATAAGAGGAAAAAATATCTAATTTACAACTGCAACAAAAAATGATAAAATATTTAGTAATGAATGCAACATGAAAAATACAGATTCATAAGAAGAAAAGGTTAAAACATGCCTGAAGTTCACAAAAGAGAACTTGCACAAATTAAAAGGCATTCCCTGTTCCAGGATAACAAAATTCAACATTCAAAAAGTCAATTCTCAGGCAGGCATGGTGGCACATACTTGTAATCTCAACTAGTCAGAAGGCTGGCAAGTTGGAGGCCAGCCTGGACAACCTAGTTAAAGCCCATCTCAAAATAAAACTTAAAAAGGGCTGGGAATGCATCTTGGTGATAACACACTCATGGGTCCAATTCCCAGGACCAAACAGTCAATTCTCAATGAATTTAATTACAAATTTGATACAATGAAAACAGATATAATGAGTTTTAAAAACTAGACACTGATTCCAGAGTTCATGTAGAAAAATAAAAAAGCAAGAACACTGAGAAAAATATAATAAAAGAGCATGGAGGGGTCACTAGTCCTGTTAGGTATAAAAATATAGTATAAAGCCTCTATAATTAATATAGTTTAGTTTTGATACATGAATAAGCTGACCCTTGGATGACTACTGGAAGTTTCAGAAACAAATCCATACATTCAGATGAATCTGGTTTACTTGTCCCCCCTTATTCAAAGAGGATACATTCCATGACCCTCGGTGGATGCCTGAAATTGCAGATGGTACCAAATCAATCAATCAATCAATCTATCTATCTATCTAAATATCAAATATGTTTTATATATGTTTTTATAGAGAGAGAGAGTGAGTTTTTTCCTTTGCATGCATTCCTATGGTAAAGTTAAATTTATAAATCAGACATGTAAGAGACTAATAATAATAACTAATAAAATGGAGTAATACAACAGTATACTATAATAAAAGTTATTTAAATATATGACCTATTAATTTCTGTAATTTTCCATTTAATATTTTAGACCGTGATTAACCATGAGTAATTGAGACTATAGAAAGTAAAAATGGAGATAGAGGAGACTACTGCATAATGAAAGTGTCATTGCATATTATTGGAGAAAATGATGTGTGACACTTGTGAGACCATCTGGAAAAAAATGTGAATCTTATATCAAAAGCCATATATCAGGATGAATTCCATATGAGTAAAATGCTTAAATGTAAAAAAAAAAACCAACATCAAATTGCCAGAGAAAAATATTTGAGAATTGTTATATAATCTTACAGTGGGGGAAGGCTTTTCCTACTCAAATTCCACAAGATATAAGGAAAAGGATCTCTAAAAAATACAGACACATAAATGCATAGACATACATGTACACATTCAGCAAAAACAAATGACAAAGTAGAGGAAAATAATGCAACTCACAGTATAACAAAGAGCGAATCTCCCTAACAGATAAAGAGCTCAGTAAATATGAAAATACCAATACTCCAATAGGAAAGTGGGCAAATGATATAAATATACAGGTCAAAGAAAAGACAAATGATTATTCAGACATATAAAAAATACATTCTCTCTCATACAAATAGAAATGCAAATTAAAACTACATTGAGAGACCACTTTCTTTTATCATACTGGCAAAAATCTAAGTTTCATTATAGTACTGTGGAGCTATAGGGCAATAGATCTTCTTACATATGGCTGAACCAAGGCTAAATCATGTAACTTTTGGAGAAGCAATTGGGGAATATTTACAAAAATATATGTGTACCCTCAGATCTAGCAATACTATTTCCAATCATTCATCTTACAGTTAATCCCTTATTGGTGTAAGGATATCTAATTAAATCTATATGTCTTAGTAAGACTGTTTATAGTAGGAAAAATTGAAAACTATCTAAATCAATAGAAGACTGGTTAATAAGTTGTAACTTATATACACAATAAGATAAAATTCACCCATGGAAAATAATAAGGAGGTCTGTGTGTACTCATATGGGATATCTATAATTTATATTAAGTGAAAAACAAAAGATAAACATAATGACTACTATTTCACAAAGGGAATAAAAGTATGTGTGTATACCTCAGTGACTAATGAACATAAATGGAAAGGATTTTTCTCATTATATACCTTCTTATGTTAATTTATCTTGAAAAAAGTGAATGCATTGTCTATCTAGGAGGAGGGAATGAAAAAGGGGAGGAACTGCTAAATGAAACTGAGCAAATTATGCCATGTACATGTATAAATATATTACAGAATTCTACTTTAAAGTGTAACTATAATGCACCAATTAAATAAATTAAGGTAAGAAACTAAATTTTATTTTAAAGAATAAAAACTCCTTTCAAGCTGGGTGCAATAGTGCATGACTGTAATCCCAGCAGCTTGGGAGGCTAAGTTAGCAGGATCGTGATTTCAAAGCCAGCCTCAGCAACAGCAAGGCCCTAAGCAACTCAGTGAGACCCTGTCTCTTAATAAATACAAAAGAGGGTGGGAATGTGGCTCAGTGGTCAAGTGCTCCCTGAGTTCAATCCCTGGTACCATTAAAAAAAAAACTCCTTTCAAAATATATATAAATATATACACAAATGTAATGTATATATTAATATATACATATATAAAATGTTTGTTTCATACATGTTTACTTTTATAAATATGAGTGTACAATAAAGAACAATCCTACAAAGATTTTGACTTAGTATATGTATTGACATGTACCAGAATAACTAATACTAGAATTCACTTATTTTGGAAAACCTGAAGTCATACTGGACACAGGAATACAAAGCACTTAAAATTTAGAAACCCTGGGCTGGGAATGTGGCTCAAGTGGTAGCACACTCGCCTAATATGCATGAGGCACTGGGTTCGATTCTCAGCACCACATAAAAATAAAATGGAGATATTGTGTCTACCTAAAACTAAAAAAATAAATATTAAAAAGAATTAAAAAAATAAAACATTAAAAAATTTAGAAACCTAAAAGTTTAGAAAGCACTTATGTTCTTTTTTTTTTAGAGAGAGAGAGAGAGAGAGAGAGAGAGAGAGAGAATTTTTTAATATTTATTTTTTTAGTTTTCGGCGGATACAACATCTTTATTTGTATGTGGTGCTGAGGATCGAACCCAGCATTGCACGCATGCCAGGCAAGCATGCTACCGCCTGAGCCACATCCCCAGCCCACTTATGTTCTTTTTTATAGATACTAAAATAGAATCAGAGCAAAATATTAGATTGCTTTTGATATGATACATAATCTGCATACAAACATATCTTTACAAGTTATAATAATTCCAGTTAATGCTAAATAATTTCAAAGAAGTCCTGATGCAGTTAACTTCTTTTAATGTCTATTAAAACTGTTACCTCTCAATAAGCATGGTAAGAATCTCAGCCTCCAGTACCAGATAAAACTAGATGCAAGAAATGCAACTTTTTCTATGGCTCAACTTAATTTCTGATCCAAAGCACCCATTTTCATAACATGGCTGAAATTTAATCTCAGTCAATTGGAGTTCTGCACTCCCCCCGCTCATTTTCATGAGAGTGTGTCTAAGGTTTGGAGAGTTTAAGTAGTTCTAAAGTGTTGAGGGGTGGGACTGTCTAGTTCAAACTGGATTTCACTTAGATATCCCATGCCAATAGTCTTCATGAATTGCTGCTGAATCCATCCACTTAACTCATATCTTTCTGCTACTTCTACTTCTGTGCCACTACTGGGTACACAAGAATCATTCTGCTCTTGTTGCTCTCTAAGTGTTATTAGAACCAGTAAATGCAGTTGAATGGCCCATCTACCAAAATTCTATGCCATCATTTAGGGTCCTACTATTTCCTCAGTGTTCAAGTTCTATTCAGGAAATCTAGTATAGGACCTGTCAGTTCTTGAAACTTAACAAAACTACTGCATGGTCAGTATTCTCTCAAAATCTAAGCTCTAACATACATAAATGTTAAAATGTATTCATGCATTTAACTTTCCTCCTTTATTGGGAGGCCTACCTGGTGAATATCCATTTGATTTCCTTAATACTGTAATGATATGATGTACCATCATTACACACAATAATAAAATTAGGAAAAAAAGGGTTTTAAGCCAATTTTCCTTCCAGGCAAATGAACAGAACTTGCTCTTTCATATATCACTTCACCACTCTACCTAATACAGATGGAAAAGGGCACTGAGCCAAAAGATCCATTAAAAACAAAAAGAAAGAAACTTCTGAGTCTGAAACTTCACTATTATCTCTTCCTATTTCCAATCTTAATAAGCACACAAAGATGCTTTCCTTGCTCATGGTACAGGACAGACTGCCCACATTGAAATCAATGAACACAGTCCACTTAACTGATAGGACAAGAACACGTTCTGATCCATGAACCAGGGTATGAGGGCTGGGGTGATGAATCAAACTTCTCTTTTTTCTCTCTCTCCCACAGAACAGCCTGCATGAATTCCTCCTTGTCAAATGCATTGATGTGCCTACTCCAGGTGAATCTGACAAAACTTCTGGATATGGCATCCACTGCCCAACCCCATAGATAAACATCTGATTGCTATGTTGCTGAATACTGAAAAATAACGTTTATGTAAACAGACCATTTTAGTACCTCCAAGTGTCCCAACTTTGCACCTGATTTGTTGCCACAATTGAACTCTGACACTAGAGGAACAAAATACCTCTTCAGATGTCAAACCCTTCCTGTCTAAAATGGGAGCAACTGAAACATCTGGGGAAAAGGTATATGGGGTCAATCACTGGAGCAGTCTGACCTTGACAGCAGTGGTCTTTCCATATTACACAAATTTCCAATTACACTCAAGTCCTGCCCATTAAAATGGACTTTTGGCTGGATGACCCCCATTGTAATCAATGACTTTTACATTCCCAGAACTATGTATGGCCCCATATGGCCCCACTGGTGTACTATTCTTTTTCATAAATTCAGGCTTTCAATATCCCTACAAATGCAAATAATGGGATATTGATGAAAGATACTCAACTATTCATAACAGTCTCCCCATTAAGCACATCCTACTTCATGGAATAACAGAGGAACTCCAAAACCAGAGACGACTCTGGTTACTCAGGAGAATTTCCAGGTGGCATTATAGCCTCTCTACTCATGCATAAGCTCCAGGTAACCTTTCCCTCTGTCAGAATCATTCAAGTAAAAAGGTGGTGCTGGACCTGTACTTGACTCTTGCAGAGGACATTAATGATAATACCTCAGCTTTGGGGGCGTAACAGACTGGCCTAAATTCCTTGGCTTTTAGTAGTGTTAAATCACCCTATAGCTGTCAGCTTCCTGCTGGCCAACAAAGGAATGGTCTCTGTGATTGCCAGCACTTTGTGTTGCACACAGAACACTAAAACTGGCAAAGTAAAGCAGCCCATAAGACTAAAGAGAAATGCCTCCTAGCTCTATAAAGTAGATTGGGCAAGCTATGGGGCATCTATTCTTGGCATGGCAACAGCTATGCCTCATGATTTTACATTTAATATTCTAGGCAGCTCTGATCACCCTGCTTAGAATTAGTCTCAGACTAATTGAAAGCATTTTTGACATAGCCCCTTAAAGTACAACATATTCAGGTCCATGAGTATGTTTCTAACTCACATCTTAAAAAAATCAAAGGGTGTAACTCAAACACCTATGTGAGATTTTTCAGGTCTACCCCAAAACCTCATGGTAGGCCTCATGGATGACAGCTGCCCTTCAGACATTAAACTTGGTGTACAGCCAATGCACTGCAGTTTCTGAAGCAGCTCTCCCAGGTGGCCATTCTCTTATACATATAAGCTTCTTTAGCTAGGGCCTTCGATAGAGACCTCCTTTGGTGTAAGACCCTGAAGAAACTTTTTCTGCACTGACAAAATACTTTTCCATTCCTAGCCCTTCTCCTCTATTCTGACACACTACCTCCCAGGGCTATACACTTTCAGTGAAATTATTCCACTCCTCTATGCTGATCCATCTAACCCTTGCTGGTACTGTGCCATGGAGAAAAATGGAACAATGGGGAAGTTAGTGCTTTCTCTAGTTTCACTTCATTTTTTATAAAACTGCAGTAAGTCAGTAAAGGTTCAACAGTTACTTTCATTATGGCTTTTTTCCCAGTGCTGAGAATAAAACTCAGGGCCTTCATGAATGCTAGGCAACCACTCTTAACACCAAGTCACATCCCCAGCCAACGTGATATGCTGTCTTAATGAGCTACTCTGACACTAAGCACCTTGGCTCTTCTCAGTTCAGCTGAGCTCTTGAAAGAACTTTTTTAAAGGATTCCCAACAGCTACATACAGTAAAACATCTTCCTAAAACATCTTAATATAGTAGTAATATTCAATTAAAATAAAATATTGTGGAAGGTGATGGTCATCATTATACAAAATATATGTATGAAGATGTGAATTTGGTGTCAACATACCTTATAAACAAACAGAGATATGTAAATTGTGGTATAAAGTTGTATTAAGAATTGTAATGCAAAAGAAACAGAGGAAAAAAGAAAAAAATCAATAAGTTATAGACTCCTCATCATTCTAATGTTTGATTTTAATATTTTCTCACTAGAATTCAATAACTTTTTAGTTGATTTGACACCTAGTCTCACATTTAAGATGACTCAATTCCTGTGGTTTTAGTAGTTTGAACATACCTTTTGTCCCCGAGGCCCTGGAGGTCCTTCTGGACCTGGGAATCCAGGCAAACCTGGATGGCCTTCTAAACCTGGAAATCCTCTCTCTCCCTGCAATGAAACAAGAATTAAAGGTAAAGTCATTTTTTAATTTCCAAGCACAGGCATGGTTGATACTCAAAAGATCAAATATCTATACAGACCATGATGTATTTTTTTTTTTTTTTGTAGTGCAGATTGAACTCAGGGGCACTTGACCACTGAGCCACACCCCCAGCCCTTTTTTGTATTTTATTTAGAGACAGGGTTTCACTGAGTTGCTTAGCACCTCGCTGTTGCTGAAGCTGGCTTTGAACTCGCAATCCTCCTGCCTCAGCCTCCCAAGCTGCTGGGATTACAGGCGTACACCACTGTGCCCAGCAAAACTGACAATTTAATGATATTGAATTCACAGTTTTTATTAACATGAAGAAAACTGTAAGATTTAAGGAGAAAAACACAAATCATGCCAAATTTATATCACACATAGTAGTGTAATCTCCTATAAAACTAAAGAATATATCAGAGATAAAGTGAGATTTAAACATACTAACATCAAGATTTTAACAAGGAAGATGGCAATAGGACCAGGAAATCACGTTTGTAAATGTTACATGAAAAAAGCATGGGGAAGAGATGAAGTATAAAAAGAAACCACTGGAGAAGCTTCCAGATTTGTTGTAAAGTAGAAGAATTGCAGGATTATACAGAGTAAAAATTCATTTGCTGGTTGGAGATTCAATTAAATTGGCCAGAACAAATCTTTAGAACATCAACTTTTTAATAATTTTTTCTGATTGTAAAATTAATATGATAAAGAAATGCACATTCAGTGTAGAAAACAAAAGATACAAGAAAACACCACCTCTATTCAGAATAATTGAATTTTGACTCAAATCTCAATTTTGATCATAGCAGTTAACACAAGCACAGGAGGGCTGCCTACCTACCAGTGAGGGCCCATCACATCTTATCAGCTAATGATAGTTATCTGATATATCTATAAAGCCAGAAAGGCAGGGGTAGAAAAGCCAGCAAGCATATTATTTAGATCAACATAAGAGGGTTAATTAATTTGTAAACAGCCAATAATAGTAAGAGTGTAAACTCCAATAGTCCTATGGAGACCAATCACAAAATTCTCCACCATGTACTTTAAGAACTAAAGGGCTCATAGCTTTCCGGCGTGTGCTTCCGTATAGAAGGCTACTAACATTTTCCTGATTTCCTAAGATTTAAGGATTTCTCAAAAAAAAAAAAAAACTTTCTCTAGCCAAATGTCTTTATAAGAACCCTCTTACCAGTTCCTAATAAAACAACAGCCCAGGCAGCACCTAAGAAAGAGAAAGCATCTGTACGTGCAAGGAAACTGACCCACAGGCCAGTGCATACATATTTCTCCTACGGTTTAAGATATACAGTAGACTTCTGTAGCTTTGACAATAATTACTTACTATGTATACATTTTCTACACATATATTCCTTTGTTGTTTCAATGAGTCATAAAATTGTGATTTAATATTCATCAACCTCAATTAATTACTTTGAAGAAAACAGGTCAAGAAGGGAGAAATTAAAAGTTTCAAAATCTGTACAACTAAACTACCTGAAATCATTAAAAAGCTCATTACTGGTAGAGGTAGCAGTAAAAATTCTATTGCAAATTCCAGTCAGAAAGAAAGGCAAGAAGGTAAAAAAAAAATCTAGTTCTAGTAGATTTCCATAAGTGGAAAACAGCTACTTTTGGGGATTTCAACTGCTATATAGAGCATACCTCTGCCAAAACTTGAGGATAATATTTGAAGAAAGCTATATTTTCTCTGATATGAAACTGCTTTCTGGGTTATAGTTAAGAAAAGAGACTAAAGAGTAGAAGATGATGAAAAGTTAATTATGTTAATTGTGTTGGAATTAATAAATAATACATCTAATAAAGGATATATCCTGAAATCTCCTCACACTAGATTCTATAATATCACATATAGCAGATTGAAAAATATTATAGTAACGAAGATAGAAGGTCAGCGATTGGCCAGCAACATACAAACTAGAAGATCAATTCTGAGACTCTCAAAGGTTAAAGTTTTCTGAGTGGAGACTACAGAAGCCTTGAGTAAGAAAGGGTTAAGTGTAGGGTCCTCTACTCAATTCCTCATATAGATGGTAGGGAAGACTGACATAGGTTTTGTGCTTACTCTTTGCTACCCTGTTAGGGGTTCATTTAATCCTTAAAAATACTCAAGATTTTTTTGTTACTTGCTAACAATAACAAACAGAAAATGATGTTGTGTGTCTGTATCTGTGGATCAGTTTCCTTATAGATATAGATACTTTCTCTTTCTTGGGTGCTGCCTGGGCTGTTATTATATTAGTATCTGCTTAAGAAGGTTCCTATAAAGACATTTGGCTAGAGAATTTTTTTTGAGGAAACCTTAAATCTTAGGAAATCAAGAGATCAAACTTAAAGAGAAAACCTGGTTTATCCTGTCTGCCTAGTTGAATATTAAAAAAAAATCATTCTTATTTTCCTTTGTAAAATAATATTCTCCCTCTACCTGTTCTTTAATTATTGGTATCATTGTAGGCTCTTTTTTGATCATCTTCTCTCTCTTTCCCTGGGAAATCTCACATATTAATGTTTCTCCTTAAAGCTAAATTCCTATAAACAACTGGTTTAAACATCACAGGCATTTAAAACTCAACAATAATAACAACTAACCCATACTGAATGTTTTTTATATGCCAGATGTTATTACAAATTCACAATGTTTTTATCTTATTTACTATTCCAAATGACAATATGAGTTAGATAGAATGAATTTCATTTTTTGTGTGAAAAATCACAAACAAGCTGAGCACAATGGTGCATGCCTGTAATCACAGCGGCTCCGGAAGCTGAGGCAGGAGAATGGCGAGTTCAAAGCCAGCCTCAGCAAAAAGGAGGCACTAAGCAACTCAGTGAGACCCTGTCTTTATATAAAATATAAAATAGGGATGGGGATGTGGCTCAGTGGTCGAGTGCCCCTGAGTTCAATCCCTAGTAACCCTTGCCCCAAAAAAGAAAAATAATGAACAGTGAAACCATTACCACAGCCAAAATAAAGAACACATCCATCACTTACAAAAGGTTCCTTGTGCCCTCAACTTTCCTGTGCTTCTACCTCTCTACCCCAATCCCACCACCCCAGGCACTGACTGATCTGCTTTCTGTCACTATACACTAAACTATTTCTTAATGAAACTTACATTTTCCAGAATTTTATATGAATGGAATCACACATATCATACTTTTGTCTAACTTTTCACTCAGCATCATTGTTTGATATTCAAACATGTTGTGATGGCTACTGGTAGTTAATCTATTTTTATTGCTGAGTAGTGTTTCATTGCATAGATATTTTGCAATTGTTCATTAAGTTACCTGATGATGGGCAGTTGGTTGTTTCTACTTTCTGGCTATTACAAATAAAGCTACTATGAATATTATTAATGCACTAGTTATATATTAATGTATGCTTTCATTTCTAATGGATAAATGCCTAAGAATGGACAGGGTCATACAATAGATAGCAAGTCAAAACTTTTAAAGAAACCATCAAACTGTTCCCCAAAGTGTTTGCATCATTTGACATTGCACTAGCAATCTACAATAGTTCCAATTACTCCACATCCTCACTTATACTTGGTATGGCCAATAATATTTAGATTATATTATAATGGTGCTATCTCCTTGTGATTGTTTTGTATTTCCCTAATTAATAATGTTGAACATCTTTTCATGTGTGATTTTGCCACCTATATATCAGATTTTATCAAGTGTATTAAAATCTCTTGCTACTTTCTTCTAATTTAATTTTAGTTGGGGTTGTTTGTTTTATTATTGAATTTTAAGAGTTCTTTAAATATTCTAGATACAAGTTCTTTTTTATAGACCTTATTTAATTAATTAATGTATTTATGTGGTGCTGAGGATCAAACCCAGGGCCTCACACATGCTAGGCGAGTGCTCTACCCCTGAGCCACAACCCCAGCCCCAGGATTCAAGTTCTTTAAGAGACATATGATTCACAATCTTTTTTCTAAGATTGTGGGATATCTTTTCATTAATTCTCTTTAAAAATGTCTTTGTGTGGGTGGGGGACAGGTACTAGGGATTGAATCTCAGGATTCTCTACCACTGAGCTATATATCCACAGCCCCATATATGTGATGTGTGTATTAATTTTGAGATAGGGTCACACTAAGTTGCTGAGGATCTCACTATGTTACTGAGATTAGCCTTGAACTTGTGATCCTTCTGCCTTGCTCTCCTGAGTCACTGGGATTACAGGAATGTACTACCGTGTCCAGCCCCACAATGACTTTTAAATAAGAAGAAATTCCTAATTTTGATGAAATGTAATTTTTTATTCAGCTTTTCATCACTGTGACCAAAAGACCCAACAAGAACAACTTAGAGGAGAAAAGTGTATTGTGGCTCAGGCTTTCAGAAGTTCCATCCCTGGTTGATGGACTTCATTGCTTTGGACTCAAGGTAAGGCAGAACATAATGGCAGAACAAAGCTACTTGGTTCATGACATCCAGGAAAGAGAGAGTACAAACAGGGTGCCAGGGAAATATAACTCCCAGAGGCACACCTTCAGTGACCTACTTCCTTGAACCATGCCCTACCTGCCTACAGTATATAAATAATGAATTTTCCAGTCCATGAACATGATATATATCTCCATTTATTCAGGTCTTCTATTTTTTCCAGCAATATTCTTATAGTTTTCAGTGTCCAGACATCGCATATTTTGTCTGACTTAGTCTTAAGTTTTCCAAATTTTTGTAATTGTCAAAGGCATTATTATGATTCCAATTTCCTAATTTTCATAGAAAATTGACTATGGAAATAGAACTGATTTTTTATTGATCTTAATTTATTTGTTTTTAAAATAATCTTTCTAAAAGCAGTAATGAATTTTTGGAACACCTTAGTGTATGTCCATAGAATTTTCTGCATTGACAAATTATGCCATCAATAGCAGCAAAGAAAAAAACAGCTTTATTTCTTCCTTTCCAGAGTGGA